GGTCTGTGGATATCCTCAGTGGTGGCGGTCCCAGCCGGGGGCTGGTCAGTGTGCCCCCGTGGCAGCCGTGGGCAGCTGTGCCGAGCCCTGTGGCTCCTCTCTCCTGCAGGTTCGAGTGGTGCCAGCTCACCGGCGCCTGCTGCGGGGCTCTGGCCTCTGTTCTCAGCCTGAAACCCACCGTGACGGAGCTGGACCTGGCTGGGAACGAGGAGCTGGGGGACGGTGGCGTGAAGCTGCTGTGCGAGGGGCTGAGGCGCGGCGCCTGCCAGCTGCAGAGCGTGCGGTGAGGGGCGCCCCCGGGGGGCTCGGGACCCTCTGTCTCTTCTCCTTGCAAGCCTGGAAGAGGGAGGAAAAAAGAGAAATAGATGAGAAAGGCCTGTTTACTGATGCTGCCGCAGCCAGACACAGCTGGAGGCATTGCAGAGCTGCTGATCACAGAGGCCTGACCTTATTATTGCCTTTTCCATCAATTTAATTGAATTCCACATTTTTAAACAAATGCCCTATGCTAGGACAGCGCAGGAAAGTAAGAGAGAGATCTCCTGTTCAGAGTTCCTTCTCTAAACAGAAGTTACAGGAGAGGTGTGTGCTGCCATCCCTGCTGTGTGGGGGTGGCTCTGTGCACCACAGGTGCCTCCTCCCGGGATCTTGCCTGGCTGCTGTGGGTGTTTTCGGGTCCCTGCGTGCCCAGGCAGGGCTGGCCACACACCACAGTAACATGTGGCTGCAGAAGCAGATCCACCCCACAGACTGTTTCTGGGAAGGGGATGAACCATGAACCATCATCCCTTAGTGGTGTCTGCATTTTCCTCTCCAGTTTTTCTTTGAATGTTTCCGTTTTCCCCATTTTCCCCTGGTATAGATTCAGCCTGGATGAGATTTGAAAGAAGGAATCTGTCTGAAACTTCCAAAGTGAGACTGATTAATCTCACCCATTCAAGCGACATTAATTGTTTGCCCCCAGACCTTTGCTCCCTGGTTGAGCAGATGCTGTCTGGTGGCCACTCCCACGCCCCGGCACAGCGGCATCGCTGCTGGGAACCCTCTTCTGCGTTTTGTTCCTTAGGTGTTGAGGGCTGTGGTTGTGGTTTGTGGCATTTGAACTGCTCTCAGCTGTCCTGTCCTCTTGATAGGAAAAGAGGAAATGGCCTCAAGTTACCCCAGGGGAGGTTGAGGTTGGAGCTGAGGAACAATTTCTTGCCCTGGAGGGTTGCCCAGGGCTGTGCCAGGCTGCCCAGGGCAGTGGTGGAGTCTCCACCCCTGGAGGGGTTTCCAAGCCGTGGAGATGTGGGGTGAGGGACACGGGGCAGTGGGGACCTGGCAGGGCTGGGGGGTGGTTGGACTCCATGATCTGAAAGGTCTCTTCCAGCCAAAAAGATTCTGTGATCACCACCCCCAGGGATTCTCAACAAGGAAACTTGGCAGCAAACACCAGTGAAGACCAGATCCAGAAACCAGCTTTGAGGGAGGGATGGGGAGAGAGCAGGGAGGTGCTCCCTCTCTATTTCCCAACGCAGTGTCCCCAGAGTCGCCCCAAGAGCCCCCTCCCTGCCCTGGCCCAGGCAGGGGACACGGGCCAGGTCTGCTCTGACCTGGGGTGGTGGAGAGGAGGCGCGGCTGGGCAGCCTCACCAC